GAAGATGCTAGGAACAACGCGAAATGTTGCATCAATGAAAATAATGGTAGATCCTGAAAAAAATGAATAAGTTGTTATTATTCCACCAACTACGAGATGTTTTTGAAAACAAACAATGTTATTTTTCAATTTATTATGTAAGACTGTATTCATAACAGTAAGCGCATTAAACTTATATTACAAAAGCATTAAACTAAAAATATTTATAAACGCTAAAAAAATTCGGCGCTACAACTTTCGGTTGTAAACTATTTTAATGAAATTCGGTTTTAAAATCATCAATGACTTTTGATCGAAAATTCGATTAAAATTTTTTCAGTTTTAAAATCATTTATGACTTTCGATCGAAAATTCGATTGAAATTTTTTCAGTTCTAATTTTTTCATGAATATTTTCGTTTGTGTAATAAATTTCTCATATTCGGTTCTAAATTGAAGTTAAGGATTCGGTTGAATCATAGGACGCCAACTTTAAATATGTTATCAGCTAAGATTTTCATCATTAAAATATTTTTTCAAGGCAGATGTGATGCCCCATGTACTGTGACTCCTGGGACAAACTACTTCAACTGCCCCTCACTCTTGGCGGCCATATATATATACATATATATATATAAATAAATAAATAAATATATATATATATATATATATATATATATATATATATATATATATATATATATATATATATATATATATATATATATATATATATATATATATATATATATATATATATATATATATATATATATATATATATAGGGGAAAGCGGGGCAACATGACGAACGTTTTGAAAGCCCTGAGTTATTGCAAAACTATCAGTCATGAAGCAATAATACTTTCTCAGTATGTTTATGTTATTAAAATCTTTCATTGCCTGCATGAATTTTCAGTTTGCAAATATAACAATTTGAAATAAGTATTAAAATAAAAAGTTCATAAATTTGTCATCTGATCACGTGACCGGGGCAAGATGACTTATTATGCTATTTTTACTTCCAATTTTATAAAATTTTAAAAAATATCAATATCTCTAAATAAAGTAACAAAAAATAAACACAAATTGCATAAAACTACTTCTAAAGAAGTTAAACTTGAAGGACACCATCCATTATGAGAAACCGAAAGTGAGGAATTTTTTTTTAAGCGCAAAAAGTATAGTTATGCGTATAAATATTGTATAAAATATGCGTATAAAAATGCGTATAAATATGCGTATAAATATGCGTATAAATATGCGTATAAATATTAATAATATTTCAAAAAACCAATTGGTGTTTTAAAATACAAGATGCAAATACAGTTTCGTTTTCACACAATTTTAAGAATTTTTGTTAAGTTGTTATATGAAAACCAATCTTGCCCCATATATATATATATATATATATATATATATATATATATATATATATATATATATATATATATATATATATATATATATATATATATATATATATATATATATATATATATATATATATATATATATATATATATATATATATATATATATATATATATATATATACCATCAAAATAAAAATAAGAAAAATAAAGCTCTCAATAATTTTTTAATTATTAAAAAATTATAAAGAACTTTATTTTTTTTCTTTAAAAATAAGCTCTTAATAATTTTATAATTTAATAAAAAATCTCTCGCCTTCAGCCACAGATACTAGCAAAGTAACAAAGATACGAAGACAGATATTTGGGGGAAAATTTCCTTCAAATTTCTTTGCATAAATGCTATTCAGAAGACCTAAGGGCCAATCATTTGTAAGTAGATGGCGTTAAACAGACAAAAAATGGCGTAACTCATCATAAAACTTGTCTTCACTAAGATCAAGATACTGATAATTTTTATTTGTCTGTTGGTGATGCCCCATAAACGTGATGCCCGGGGAAAACTAATTTGGATCCACCACCCTCTGTGCACCCCTGTATATATTAGACATAGGAGTATCTAAATAAAAATAAGTTAAAGCAATTATAGTATGTCAAGTAAATGCTATTTCATTTGTCGTTAAAAAGTAAAAAAAATAAAAGAGTTAAAGCAATTATAGTATGTCAAGTAAATGCTATTTCATTTGTCGTTAAAAAGTAAAAAAAAATAAAAGAAAAAGGTCATAAAAAATTTTTTTTTATCATAGACAGAAATTTATTCTGTATATATTCAATAATTGATTTAAATATATTCTAGAAGAAATTTTACGAAGTATCATGTTTCACAAAGATCTAAATATTAAGTTGGTTTACAGATTTATCTTTTGTAAATTTATAAAATTGTTATTGTATTTTAACGTCAAGCTTTGTTTTAAATTATTTTTTTTAAAACTAATACAGTTGTAAAGCTTTTTTAAATTTTCGTTTATATATTTTTCAAAAAATAACGCGTTGCATTTGAAAAACTTCAACCTTTAAATAGATAAATTATATACCGTATACTGAGATAATAAAATGTTTACTCATAATAGTAATTATACGTTCAATATTAGGTGTTCAACGCGACAAACTACTTCACGAAATTCATCGTTATTTTTCACAAGACACAAAAAAGTCGGCTTTAATACTATATGGAATGTCAGGTGTTGGAAAGACAAAAATTGCCAAAAAATATTGTGAAATTTATTCTGACTTCTATAAAAATATTGTCTGGATAGACTCAGCATTTGGAAAATTACAAACTTCAATAAGAAATCGTTGTCAAATATTAGGATTGGCTATTCATGATTCAAAAAGTGATTTTAATATAGAAGTAATTGTCGAAAAAATTCACGACTATTATTCAAATGGAAAAACGTTGTATATTTTTGACAATGTCGACGATGAAAGTGTTAAAGGTTTGACAATGTACATTTCAAGAAACGCGAACTCATTTACTTTAATTACCTCGCAATGGAGAACGTGGTCAAACAACGTAAATAAAATGTTTGTTGATGTTTTTTCGTTTGAAGATGCATTCGCTTATGTGAAAAATAATGTCAAAGAATACACCGATGAAGACATAAAAAACATAGTTAAAGAACTTGGTTATCATCCGTTTGCTATAACGCAGGCAATAAAATATATAAATATACATAACGTTTCGATAGAAAAATATATAGATCGATATAGACAGAAACCCTTAGAAATATTAGACACTGATAACTTTCCTTCTGAAGATGAATCAAAGTCTGCAATAAAAGCAATCAATTTAGTTTTGTTCAAATTAAAAAAAACTAAACCTATTCCATTAGATTTACTTAACTGTTTATCTCATTGCGATGGTCAAAATATAGGTAAAGAATTTATAATCCAAATCTTAAATCAAATGAAAATAAAAGAAGAACATTTAATAGATGAAATTGTTGGGATACTAATGAGTTTTTCGTTACTAAATTGTTTCGATGATAACAAATATTCAATGCACGAACTGACACAGATGACGTGTAGATATTTTCAAAGTAAAAATTCAAGTACAAATACGTATCTTGATCTAATCGATGATTATTTCAAATTTGAGTTAAATCAGGTTAATGATCACGTGGAATTCGGTAATCATTTCGTTTTTCATTTTCTCTATATGTTTCGTATAAACGGAAAAAGAATGTCGAAAACCTTCCATTATATGTCAACTTCTATATACCAGTTATTAGTATGTAAAGGTTTTTTTGATGAAACAATCGAAATATTAAAAACTATTCAAAGTTTCAATACGAAAACTTATGGTGAAAATAATAAATTTACGCTTGATACAAAACATTATATCGGAAACTGTTTTTATAATATGGGAAAATATAACGAAGCGTTAGAAATTTATTACAATGTTGAGAAAATACGAACTCATATTTTAGGTATCAACCATTTAGATACAATGGCAACAAAACATAGTATTGCAATCTGTTTGAACGATATGGGAAAATATAATGAAGCTTCAGAAATATATTCTTCTGTTGAGAAAACGCGAATTAAAATTTTAGGTATCAACCATCCAGATACAGTAAAAACAAAACATAATATCGCAAGCTGTTTGTATAATATGGGGAAATATAACGAAGCTTTAGATATTTATTATTCTGTTGAGAAAATACGAACTGAAATTTTAGGTATCAACCATCCAGATACAATGACAACAAAACATAATATCGCAAGCTGTTTAAAAAATATGGGAAAATATAATGAAGCTTTAGAAATTTATTATTCTGTTGAGGAAATGCGAACTGAAATTTTAGGTATCAATCATCCAGATACAATGACAACAAAACATAATACTGCAATCTGTTTGTACGTTATGGGAAAATATAACAAAGCTTTAGAAATTGATTGTAATGTTGAGAAAATACAAACTGAAATTTTAGGTATCAACCATCCAGATACAATGAAAACAAAACTTAGTATTGCAATATGTTTGTACAATATGGGAAAATATAACGAAGCTTTAGAAATTTATTATTCTGTTGAAAAAATACAAACTGAAATTTTTGGTATCAACCATCCAGAAACAATGAGAACAAAACATAATATTGCAACCTGTTTGGACAATATGGGAAAATATAACGAAGCTTTAGATATTTATTACTCTGTTGAGAAAGTTCGAACTGAAATTTTGGGTATCAACCATCCAGATACAATAAGAACAAAACATAATATCGCAATCTGTTTGTACGTTATGGGAAAATATAACGAAGCTTTAGAAATTTATTATTCTGTTGATAAAATACGAACTGAAATTTTAGGCATCAACCATCCAGATACAATAAGAACAAAACATAATATCGCAAGCTGTTTGAACGATATGGGTAAGTATAACAAAGCTTTAGAAATTTTTTATTCTGTTGAGAAAATACGAACTAAAATATTAGGTATCAACCATCCGGATACAATAAGAACAAAACATAATATTGCAAGCTGTTTGGACGATATGGGAAAATATAACGAAGCTTTAGATATTTATTACTCTGTTGAGAAAATACGAAATGAAATTTTAGGTATCAACCATCCAGATACAATAAGAACAAAACATAATATCGCAAGCTGTTTGGACAATATGGGAAAATTTAACGAAGCTTTAGAAATTTATTATTCTGTTGAGAAAATACGAACTGAAATTTTAGGTATCAATCATCCAGAAACAATGAAAACAAAACTTAGTATCGCAATCTGTTTAAGTAACCTCATAAAACAGAAAACAAGTTGTTTAACAATTAGTTAAATGTAATTTTGTTTAAATGTATAACTTTTATTATGCTGTTGATGAAAAAAAAGTCGTACCCTCCTTTAATAGTAAGAAAGCGGCGTAAAATATTTTTTTAAGTTGAATTATGTAAATTTTGAGTAATATAAACATATAAACTTGGTATCTGGAAGAGGATCTTGTTGCCAGAACCATATAAAAATCCTAATTAAATATCATATAAAATAATACATGTAGTTTATAACAAAATAACAATTCAAAACATTTGAAATAATAAATGGGTAAAATAGTATCTCAAAAATATTTCTATATATTATCCGCAGAAAAAGTAAAACTCTTTAACTTAGATTAGGCTGGATAATTTTATTCCAGAAATAAGGTGCTCAATAATCTATACAAAATTGATTAAACTGTTTAATTTTTTTTATATATATTGATTATTTCGCAAACTATATTCATTCTTCCCTACGGGCGTTTGTTTTTAAAAGTTACGTTCTGAATTTCTTCTAAACGTTTTTTAAACGTCTTTTAAACGTTCTTTATGTAAGAATGTTTAGAAGACGTTTAAAAGTCATTTAAAATACATATAGAACGTAACTTTTTAAAACAAATGCCCGATGGGTTTGCTTAAAGCTAAATAGATCATTAAAAACATTTAATAATGGGTTGTTTATACAACAATAGTGAAACATAAAGTATTATACAAGTTCATAAACGTTTAATACATTTATATCTTTGAATAAAGGTTTTGTGTTTGAAAAACGATTAAAATATATATATATATATATATATATATATATATATATATATATATATATATATATATATATATATATATATATATATATATATATATATATATATATATATATATTTAAACAATTTAAAATGTATTCTACAAAAAGAGTGCTCAATGTTCTTAAAAGAACAGAGCAATTAAAAATTAGTAGAAAATCACTTAGCAAAATTTTTTCTCATTTAACACTGTGTTTCATCAATAAAGACTCATCAGAAATGAATGATCAAATTAATAAAATTTCAATTTATACCAAAAATTATATTACAGGAAGTCACATGTCTTAACTACTGCAATTTTTCACACATTTGTGTAATTTGCTGACACTATTGTAAAAAGAATTCTTTAGAAATGATTACTTAAGCTTTTTTAAAAAAATAATATATTTTTTTCAGAAGGGAGTTAATGTAACTATTATTTGAGCTCACTTATTTTTATAGTTTTTTCGGAGAAACTTATTTTCGTGCCTGCATTTAGAAATCAATTCCGATTTTTTGTTTAATAAACATTCTTGGTTTGTATATGTAATTATTTCAAATTTTTCTTGTAGACATAGTATGCATTTTTTGGAAATATTGTTATATGCAGGTACTGTTTTAAGGATGGACCGATTCAGTGTAAAATCATCAATATTTTTATCTTTTAATTCCCATATATATTTTGACAGCATGATGTCTTTTGAATACTTTTTATTTTTAAAAAATTGCTTATGATTGCCAAAACGTTTTTTCCATTCACCTTTTGTTATGCCAATATATTGTTTATCAGGTACGTTCTTAGAGGAGACAACACATTTATATACCACATTTTTTGATAAGCAACTTCCACTCATTGGATAATTGTTTTTTTGTTTACAATTACAATTTTCAGTAATTTTTTCATTTTGGATTTCTTTTTTGTTTAAAAAAGCATTGTTGTGACCTTTTATAATTCTTTCCATATTTTTTGTGCAACTGTAGCTAACTTTAATAGTATTTCGATTAAAAATGTTATGTAATTTATTAGAGGGCGGGAAATGCTTATCGATCAATTTTAAAAACGCTTTTCCTATGTTTGTGGAAACATTTTTGCTATATGGGGGGTTGAACCAAATTACATTTTTAGTTCTATTTCGCTTTTTTGTATTCTTTTTTTCAGGGTCAAATTTTAATTCAAAGTTTTCAAAACCACTTTTTTTAAGAGCATCTTCAAATATCTGTTTGGAGGTATTGAATACATTTTCATTAGAGGAGTTTTGGTTAAGCCTGTTATTAATTGAAATCGGGATTTGTTTTAGAATTTGGGGTGGATGATTCGAGTTAATATTAATATACAATAATTCATCGTTTGATTTTTTGAAAGGCTTATATGTATTTTCCGAAAGGTTAAATGTGACATCAAGAAAGTTCACAATTTTTAAATTTATGTTTATTTCAATTTGAAAGTCAATATTTTTAAAAAATTTTATATCTTTTCTAATTTTATCAAGCTGTGGACCAGATTTTTTACGCATTACTATTAAACCATCGTCGCGATAAAGGCCTAAATCATTTATATTGATTATTTTACTTAATAAATCTAAAATATATAATCCAACAAATTCACAAATTTCTGCTCCATCATAACTGCCCATTGTTACATCAAAGCAGTTATGTATGTTTTTCTTTTTCCAAGTTTCCTTATTAAAATAAAGTAAGGTTTTTCTACAATGTTTTATTATGCGAATTGTTTCTTCAGGAATAACTGTGTGGCTTTTTGCAAATTTATTTGATTTATCTAAAATATCTGCAGTTATTGAGGGGTAAAAATCATTAATATCAAATTGAATAAATGTACAGTCATTTTTATTGTTGATTATGGAGAACCAATTTATAACATCAGTGGTATTTTTCCACTGTTGCAAATTTAATTTATTTCTAAGAATATTATTAATTTTGTCCAATTTAATTTTGCTTACATGTCCAATCTCACTTTTTGAGGGAACCAATAACCTACAAGGAAGTTTGTTTTGAAAATTTGGTTTATGGTCTTTTAGTGTTACAAAAGCTTGGGCAGGAGCAGTTGATTCGATTCTGTTATCAAGGCTTATTTTTTTAGCAATACTTTGCGCTTCTAAATTAATTGCATTTTCCAAATTTTTAGGGGCTTTCTCATAAGAACTAGTAATATTGTCGCGTAAAATTTTTTCATAGTTTTCTGTTGTAAGTTGGTAAATGTTATTTGCTTTATCAGCAAAAACCAAAATATTAGGGTTTGATTTAATTTTTTTAACATCTAACTTTAATTCTGTTTGAAATTTGTTTTTTATAGCGCAAAACTTTATTGTTTTAATTAAATGCAAAAGGTCATTTTCAAAATTTTCCAAATCAGGTATGAAAGGTGGGGTATTTTTTGTTTTAAATCCATAATTATCATTATCTTGGTTATTATTAAATACATCATCTGTGTTTGTATTTGGTTTTAAGAAAAAATGCGCTTTCCAACGAATTCTTTTTATAAAATGCTCAACTTTTTCAATTAAAGAAATAGTATAACTTTTTTCATCTAGTATAGGTATATTTTTCAAGGAGTAAGTGAAATTATTAGTTTCCATATTTACACGGAATGTTAAAATACAATTAAGAGTGCTCAACAAATATTAATAAGGAGCCTAATATATATTTAAACTTTAAAATTTAATTATTGATTTCTAATATAAAGAAGTTTTATTAGAAAAAATTTAATTAATTTTCAGTTAACAAAAGTAATTGCTTAAGTTTTGTTTTGAATTGGTTTAGAGAATAATTAGTTTTCATTTCATTATTTAATATTATGTTCCACAACTTTGGTCCTCGGTTTACAATAGAGAATTTAGTAGCGGAATAATAACTTTTGGATTGAATGTAGTTGTATTTTGAAAATCTTGTAGGGTATATGTGATTTATTTTTTCAAAAATTGAATAAAATAAGATTGATAATATATTTTTATCAAGTTTGAACATGAAAATAAGAACTTGATAGAGGTTTAGTTTATATATATTTAGGATATTGAGTTCATTAAAAAGTGTTTGTGTGTGTGAAAAACGATCTATGTTTGAAATTATCCTTATAGCCTGTTTTTGCTTGCTAAACAATTTTTTTATTTTCGTCGCGTTAGTGCTACACCAAGCAATGTTCGCATAACTTAAGTAGCAATGAATAAAAGAAAAGTAAATATTTTTTAAACAAGATCGATGTAATAACTGCTTTGCTTTGTACATTATACCTAAATTTTTTGATATTTTATCTTCAACTACACCTATGTGTTCCCTCCAGGTTACATTTTCGTCTAGAAACACGCCTAAAAACTTTATTGATTGCTCTCTCTTTATTAATTGATTGTCAATAAAAAGGTCTGGGAGTTCTAAGGAAATATCTGATTTTTTTATGTAGGCGATGGAATAAAGTGTATTTTGTTTTAGTGATATTTAAAGATAACTTGTTTGATTTAAACCATTGGGTTAGTTTGTCTAGTTCTTTGTTTAATGTTTGGAATAATATATTGATATCTTTATTGGAATAAAACAAGCTGGTATCATCTGCAAATAAAATTGTATTTAAAATGTTAGAAAATTTATTTAAATCGTTTATATAAACAAGAAATAGAAGTGGCCCTAAAATTGATCCTTGAGGAACACCACATTTAATTGTCTCATAATTAGTTTTTCCTTCATCATAAACTATATACTGCTTCCTATTGGTCAAATAACTCTCGAACCAGGACAAGTTAGTATTTTTTATACCATAACTTTTGAGTTTCGATAGAAGGATTTGATGATTGACTGTATCGAAAGCTTTACTTAAATCGATAAAAAGACCTAGGGTATACTTGCCTTCATCAAACGATTTAAATATGTCCTGAACAAGGTGAATGATTGCATGATTGGTGGAATGGCCAGATTTGAATCCAAATTGTTTATGGTAAAGAATATTATTTACATTTAAAAAAGAATAAAGCCTATTATACATAACTCGCTCTAATATTTTAGAAAAACAATTAAGAATTGAGATTGGACGATAATTTTCAACTTCAAGGATCGCCTGATTTTAAAATTGGAATGATTTTTGCAATTTTTAGGTTTTCTGGAAAAACACCATGTTTTAAAGATAAGTTAAAAATATGTAATAATGGAATTGTGATGTATTTTATCGATTTAATAACGACATTACTACTTATAGAATCGAAACCTACACTTTTTTGGGCTTTGACAAAGAGACTGCGTCTAATAATTCATTTTTCGTAAGTTTAGGATCAGACATAACACTAATGTTGTTTGAGGTTACGTAAGACTTAAAGTGTATTT